TAGATGGGAAGCAAATGATGAAGCCTTTTGTTTATGGTGGGGAGAGCCAGAGCCTCCCACGTCACCCTTCCCGAGGCCCTTTGGAGGACTGCTGTGATCTTCCAAAAAACCAACAACACAACAAAAACAACCCCCAAACTTACTTCCATATTCCCAGCTTCCTTAAGCGCTTTATGCATGGTTATTCCATGATTATTCATGGCATTCCGTGGTTATTCCAGGAATAACCGTGTCTAAACAAGCTCTCTTGCTGGCAAATTTAGGGGCGCATTTGCTACCGAAACGCCACGACTCCGAGCCCAGGAGCAGGGTCGTTTCCCACCCCGCTCCCGCGCGGGTACCTGCTCCTCGGACTTCACGTTGAGCTCATCCCGAGAAACGAGCTCCAGGACGTCCTCGAAGGGCAGCGCCAGGAACTCCTCGGACATGGACACCTCCACAAAGTGCTGCTGGATGAAGCTGTTGGCGGCGGCGTAGAGCACCGCGCACATCATGGTCTCGGCAAACTGCCTCACGCCCAGGCAGTTCTTGGGGTGCAGCCTGCAAGAACGGGGAGAGAAGAGCAAAAAAACCCCAGGGCAGTTTAGCAGGAGCGGGGAATTGCAGCAGGGCCAGGGATGCAGCGCGCGGGAAGCACGTGCCAAGGGTGGGAGATGTGGAGGGATGCAGGGAAAGCAGCTGGGCCCACTTCCAAGCCCAACGTTTCTGTTGGAGCATCAGATGGCAGATTCCAGCTCAACGAACGTGGAGATCTGATGCGTGGGAAACCCGAAAGGATGGGAATCGCAGCTGGAAATCTCCGGGAAGCGCCACGGGAGATTTCCTCTGCTTTTTGGCTGCCGTTCCAGCGAGGGGACGTGAGGCTCTGCACGAAGCGTGTCCATCCCTCGCACATCTCTCATCCCAGGGCTCCACACGTGGCACCCCCTTGTTTTCCAGCCCCAGACAAAGCTGGATTCAAGCACGCTACCCAAACACCAACAACCCTCCTCTGTTCCTCGCCTTGCAGCTTTTGGAGCCCTCCAGAGCCGCATCGCGGCTTCCCGGAGCTGTTTCCCGGGATGAGGGAGGCCGTATCCCAAAACCTGCCTTTGCAGCGGAGGTGAGGCCGGGAGAGGGGCTGTGCAGCCCCCCGGCTCCCTGCGCTGCTCCGAGGCCACTCGGAGCCACGAGGATCCGGAGGCGACGTCGACCACAAGGAGCTGCCGCTTCCAAGCGGCTCCGCTCCGCTCATCAGCACACAGTAGATTGAAGGGCACCAGTTTGGGAAACACTTTGGATTCCCGGGGTTTTCCATGTAAAAATGGGATCTCAATGTGCACGTTCCAGCTCTTCGGGATGGTCAGAGCCCACAGATTGCTTTGTTATTAATCAAAATGATAGCTGCGCATTTCGCTCGTTACTTAACTTAGGACAACCAGCTGCTCTGGGTAGATTTTGGAGACCCGTGGCCACTAAATCTGAGAAATAAACCACCCTGTTTAACCTAGATATAGATACAGCTACCTAGAGCTAATGGGGACTCATCTCTGCAGTCTGTCGTTATAATCAGTACCAAAAATGGGATTTTGCAAGAAAAATGAATACACTGTAGTATTGCATGGCTTAATTGTAAACCAAAGAAGCTTTGGATGCACACAGGGCTATACACTGAAACGTCTTGAACCTGGAGGAAACGCGTTTCTGCTCCCCAATCCAGGATTTTAGGACAAGTGCATTGAGAGTTTTAAAAAACGGCAGAAATGGCCACGATGTTTCAGCTGTTTAGGAGATATGTTTAATACCACAGCACTACCCTGAACAGCTGCAGAGAAATAAGGTGTGTGCGTTGGCAGGGGTGGAAAATAACTGCACAGGTTTCCCTGGCACTATCTACCGATACGGGGGCAATGTTTCCAAGGAATAACCCAGCTCCTCCGCTTCCAGATCCGCTGCTGGAACCGTCCTGCAGCCAAATGTGAATCCCAGAATCCCAGAAGGGCTGAGGCTGGAACCTCCAGGGACCCCCCAGTGCAGCCCCGGCTCCAGCAGGGACACCCAGAGCACGGGGAAACAGGGCGCATCCAGGCGGGTTGGAGATCTCCAGAGCAGGAGCCTCCACAGCCTCTCTGGGCAGCCTGTGCCAGGGCTCGGGCACCCTCACACCAAGGAAGTTCTTCCTCACACGGACATGGAGCTGCCTGGGGTTCAGCCTGTGCCGTTCCCTCTGGTCCTGGCAGCGGCAGCACCGAGCAGAGCCTGGCCCCGTCCTCTCTGCATCCTCCCCTCGGTACTCGCACACGTTGATCAGGTCCCCTCTGTCCCCTCTCCTCCATTTCTTTACGTGCCAGGCGCCCCGTGTTGCAGGGATCGAGTTGTCCCGTGGGTGCTGGTGGCCCCGGGCGCTCACCTCTCGCGCAGGAAGGCGCAGCACGCGTCCTTGATGTTCTGCAGCTGCAGGAAGCTCGCGCCCATCAGCAGGGACTGCACGTTCTGCTGGTCGATGGCCAGGTGGCCGTTGTAGGCAAAGTTGATCAGAGCCTCCAGGGCACTAAAGGAGGAGGGAAAAGGGCAGGAAACGCGTTGATCCGATCGGCAGGACACACCGCGAGCAGAAAAGTCCTCCCCAGGAGGGTTTATATTAAGAGGGGAGGTTTTGGAGCAGACTGTATGGAGGACTTCCCTTGGGAATTACCTGGGATCCATGCCCTGCATGACGATCTCGTCCTGCTTGCACTCCATCATGTCGTTGGTGAACATGGCATGGAAGTAGGGGATGGAGGCCGCCAGCACGATCCGGTGGGCGCTGAATTTGTGGTCCCCCACCTGGGAGGGGACACAAGGAGAGAAGCTGAGCACCATCCACTGCTCCCTGCACGGGCCGGATTCGCTGCCCGGCAGAACCAAGGGCTGAAAGTCGGGTCATTCCCACTCATGGATACGAGAGCAGCCTGGGTGTTTGGAATGACATTCACGCTTTGGAATCCAGGCCTTCAGCCTCCTTGTAAGAGGGTTCCCCTTGGCAGACATGAAACAGCATCACGGACGGGCAGGGCCACCCCAGAGCGCTACAAGGAGAAGCCAGGATCACCGAGGCAGGAGTCGGCACAAATTCACTCCCCATTTCCCCGCGTGCATGAGTTTCCAGCCTGGATCCGCTTGCTCCGCACAGGAAACACTCAACCACAGTCCTGCATCCGCCCTGCTGTCTGGCTACCCCTTTTCCACGTCACCCACCTGCTCCCAGGACACCCGTTTTGGCGGTGCCTCTCCCAGCAGGGTTTTATGCTCTGACTTTCAACAGCCGCTCGAAAGGGACCACAAACTCCATGCTGGCCTCTTTGGCCGAAGATGCTTAAAACCACTCGTAAACACGCTGTTTGATGGGGAAAAAAAGGGGAAGGAAAAGTAATTCCAGCAGCTTGGCACCTCGGAAAGCCAACGGCACCTCACTCCATCCTGGTCGTCGTTCCCGGTCTCTCCCGGTCGCCGGGTTCGGCGTGCGAAGGTGCCCGGGCTTTGCTGCTCTCCGCATCCTTGCGTAAAGCAGAGCCCAAAACGCTGCTTGTGAGGAAAACGCTGGGATAACCAGGAGGAATCTGGTGTTGGAGCAGAGCCCCGCAGCGCCAGTCCTGCCGTGTGGGTATCCAGGCAGCTTCCAGGAGCTTCCCGCGCTGAAGATCCCGGTTTGGCCCTTCCTGTGGGTTGAGCTGCAAGGGGGATGCCTGGGATCACTCCTGTGCTCCGCTGCATTCCAGAGGCTCGGGGCCAGCGCCGCGGGCTCCTCCAAGCTTCCCCGGAGCCTTCCTGCCCTGCGGATGGAGCTGCCTGCCCGGCCTTCCTGACATAATAAAACATCCGTGGGGGATAAAACATCCGTGGGGGATAAAACATCCGTGGGGGATAAAACATCCGTGGGGGAGCAGAGCTGCCCAAAGGGGAGCTGTTCCCTGGCAAGGTCAGGATGGAACCTGCGATTCCTTATGCAAAAGCAAAACCCCAAGGGCTCCGGGAATGGCACGGAGCCCCTAGGAGATTTATCAGCTGGGATCTCCGGCCTAGAAACCCTCACTGCGTTCGTGCCATAAAACCTTAATGCCAAAGTCTGGAGGAACGACCGAGCCCAGGGCTGCTGGCGAGCGACGGCTCCTGGTTTTCCTGTACAGGCCAAAAACACTCCTGGAGATGAGCACAGCAGGGCAATCCTGCTCCGTGCAGCCCTTCCCCTTCCCTCGAATACGGACCCTTTTCCCCGTGCAAGGGAAGTCTAACGCTAAAGTGACAGGGAACTCGGGCTCTTCTTGGTGTCCCTCGAGCCCTACGGGCTTCCATTTGCCTCCCATCTGTCACAGCCTTTCCCAGGAACTGCAGAAGCATCGGCAGAGCCTAAGAAAAAGCAGAAAAGAGGCTTGGCCTGCTGGAATGAAACCCTCTTTTTGCACTTTCTGAGCAAGTGGCAGGGACAGCCTCTTGTTGGGGCCTTGCAGCAGAGCCTGGAACTGGCTGCCCGTTTTAGCTGCGCTCCGGAGAGCTCTCCAAGCAAAGACTTTCCCCTTTCAATTACCCTGGACCTCAGCACGCTCCTATCGCTACCCGGGATCAGGAAGATTTGTAGACTCCGTGTATACGACGCCCGGAAAGAGGAACATCCCAGGAGATCCCATCAGGTCGGCAAAGGGAAGAGGCTCCAGGACGAGCGTGGCCTGCAGGAGGTTTCCACCCTCGTGCCAGGAAATGCCACCGGCCTCTGCCCACGGGAGAGGGTTTGGCAGGAGCACGAGCACGACCAGCACGAGCAAAGCGGCGTTTCTGACCTCGGCTGGCGCAGGAGGCTCTTTTTGTGCCTTCCCGAGCTCGTTCCTGAACAGCTCCTTCTCCAGCACCCTCCCACGGCCGCGCAATGTTAATAAGTGCCGGGGCACAATGCCGCTTTCTCCACGGAAAACGCGGCGTGGGTGTAATAAAGACATCCATTCTTTCCACGACGTCGTTGCGCTGCGGAGCCGGGAAGTCTCTTGGGCTCTCCTGAAGGAGCATCCGCAGGAGATGCTTGGCTCTCCCACTGTATTCCCACATCCCATCCTTCCAAGGAGCAGCGTTTTCCACAAGCACGGGCTCCTCCTCCACGGGATATGCCGGCACCAAAGGGCACTCAAGCTGCAGGACAAGGTTTGGCTCCTCTCCTCCATTCTCACCATGTCCCCTCGACCACCTGGCTCAAAGGGGACACGGGACCCAGGACGGCTGATGACCGTCACACAGAGCTGCCTTTCCAAACCGAAAGCATTTTGCCAAGGGCTGGGAATGAGCTTGGAGGCAGGCAGCAGGTCTTTCCATCAGGGCACGACATGATTTGAACAACAGCCTGAACCAAAAGGTCTCATGTGCAAAGAGATCAGCTCTGACAGCTCGTCCCTGGCCTAACAAAGAGAGTGTTTTGCTCAAGAGCTCAGAAATACCCCTGAACACCCGCATAAACTGCCTGAGATCCCACTTCTCCTTCGGGAAGAGGCTTTTTGGGAAGAATTGGAGCCTTTGTAGGGGAGCCTTAGATCGGAGCCTTTGCAGGGAGAAAAGCCAACGGGAGCAGCACGTGCCCGTCCGGTCCAGCTCAACAGCTCTCCGTGCTGGGAGATGCCTCATCTTACAGGGCTGAATAATTTTGAGGAGATTTTTCTCATTAGTCACAGGGTTACTCACGGGAATGTGGCATTTGAGCTCCTCAAAAGCAAGGGAGCAGCAGCAGCGCGTGGAGCTGGCGTTGAGTGGGCGTTCGAGGGGCTGCCGACGGCACAAACCTCCTCCTCCTGGACACGGATTTCTTCAGGATTTGCTGTGGGCGCCAGCTTGGCACCCGCTCCTGCTCTGCTGCAGCAACCGTAAAAACGTCGGCTCCGACGGATTTTATCAATGGAAACAGCTCGGAATATTCCTGCTTCCCAGCTCAACGCGTCCCCCGGGAGCGTTTGGGCCTTGGAGCGAAACTCAGCAGCAAACTCCAGAAAACAAAACAGGGCCCAAAGCTCCTTCCTCCCAGCAGGAGCCTCACGAGCAAAAACCACCGTTTGGGAAAACCAAGCACCGAGCGGCTGCTTTTATGCAATTAAAACGCAGGCAAATGTCCAAATCAGGGCTTAATTTCCCTGAATACCTCCAGCCTTCAAAGAACTGAAGGTGTTTCTCCATTTTTGCAGTATTTGAGGGCTCTAAAATGCCTTGAGAACATGTGAAAATATTCAAAGTTCACTGGAAAATAGCGGGGAGTGTTTCTATGGTGGCACTGGCAGGCACAGGAGAGAGGAGCAATGAAGGCCCAAGACTTTTGGGCAGAGCATGGCTAATCCAATTAGCTAAGAGCTAATTGCTTTTTACCAGCAAGGTGCTGGCAGCGGGAAGGACCGAATGCAAGGTTTACGTGCAGGCAGGAGCTGATTCCCATTGCAGAACATCCTCCCAAAGCTCCTCCGAAGCCGAGCGGTTGGGAGCGCCCCGAGATGTCCTGATGCTTCAGATCCAGCTCCTGGGGGAAAAACAGGCACAGGAAACAGCGGACAGAAACCAAAACCTCACTTATTTCAGCCTAAAACCAGCACTTCAGCCAAAAACGGATTGCAAAGCCTAGAGCCAACAACTTAAAATAGCCACCGGGCCTCAAATCACTTGACACAACCATCCAAGCAGCTACAAACCCCGGGAAATTTGTTTTCCTTGGAACGGCAGCGACGCGGATCCTCCGGAAGGAGACTCCGTCCTGCCCCGCGGCAGCTGGATCGATGCCCGCCCGGCTTTACGAGGGCAGTAATTAAAACAGACACTCGCTAACGATTTGGGGTCAGTTTGAACAGCAAACACTGCTCCGGGCTGGCAGGATCATTCGCAGCCCTTGACTCCAACGCTGATAGCGCTGAAGAGGCCGCTGAGTAACCCAGGGGTGCTCCGAGGATCCGTTGGCTCCCGCTTCCGCGGAGAGGCCGGATACCCGGAGCATCGCTCGGCACCGAATTCCCAGTGCTGGCCCAAAGCAGCGACCGGGGGGTTGTTTCTTCATGCAGGAGCCTGAAAACACCCCTAAAAATACAGCAGTGAACCTGCTCGGTGGTGCAGCGGGATCCACTTCCCGCTTTTCCGGGGTTGCCTGGAAGCGCGTCCCGATGCTCTTCCCTCCGCCGCTTCGGAGGGCTCCCCGCTCCGTAGGCTCCATGCGCAGCGCGACGTTTTGCAGGATTTGCAGCACAGAAAACACAACAAGGCCAAGGGAGAAGCGGGTCTGACGCCAGCTCATGGTGCCCGACCGATTCCAAGACGGCACCGGAGCTCCGTTAATAACGAGTCTTATTATTAAGACTCCGAGGAGAGTTCGGGAAGACACCTCGTTCCAAAGGAAGCCTTGGATCACCTTCAACACGCAGCATTAACTCAACTGCTCCGGGCCAGCGCTGAGAAATGGGACGTCGGGAGGCAGAGGCAGCAACCGAGTAGGAAACGTTGACGTTATAGTGAAGGAATACCCCAGCAGCAGAGCAAGAAAGCTGAGATTTCAAGAAAAGCGACTTTTTTTAATAGTTGTTAAAGTTTTGTAGCGACGACAGGCCCCACATGGGGCTCTCCGGGTGAGATTTTGCTCCAGGGACTCTAAATAGCGAAATATCAAACAAAAAGGGAAAAATCGCGGGGACAACGGGGTGTCTTCACCCACAGAGCGGGCAGGGGACACATTGGGACCTGTGCTGGGATCCCTTCAGCCCTCAGGATTTTGAACGTTTTCCCGCTCGGTGGTGGAAGAAATACAAATAAAATGCAATAAATAAGGCTAAAACAAGGCACTTTGATGGGAAGGGATGGCTGGATGATAAGGAAGAGCAAGAGGCCGAGCTGTTCCCAATAAACACGCTGGCCCGGGAAGGGACGGCGCGCTCCGGGCTCCAGGACTCGGATCCGCAGGCACCGCTCCGGGAGGCGCCGCTTGGGAAGCGCCTCCACGCGCCGACCGAATCCCGGGAATTCCGCGGTGCCCTGAGGTGCCCCATGGACACCGGGCCGGGAGCTGCCGGCACCGACGTCCCCATTGAGGGACCCAGAGGGGACCCCGAAATGGCGGGGGGGGG